TTTTTGATATTGATTTCTGCTAAAATTCTGTGTAGCATTTAAATGGGCTACTGTGTTTTGAGTTCAGTCACGTGCTGATTTGTTCTTGGGGCAAATATTTGGTAAAAATCAGCTACTCACCATTTTGTGCTAGCATGTGGAACTGCCCTGGGAAACTTACCCCTGGCTGGTGGGCAGTTAAACTATTGAAATAACTATAAACAAAAAGACTGACATGTGATGTGTACATGAAAAGTATATTGCTCAGAGTGGCCTAGATGATTCTGCAATAAAAAAAAATAACCCCCAATCTCCATCAGTGACCTGAAAACCACAAAGATGTGTTTCTTTCTCAAGTTACATGCCCACTGGGATTCACAGGGGGCTTTGCTCATTTCTCATGTGATAGACCAATTGCACCTTGACTGTTGTCGCTTGTTGAACAGAGAAAGAGTTGTTTGGGATCTTGTATTAGCAGCTAAATACTTTGGCCATGAAAGTGGCGCAAAACTGATTTAACCACAACTAACTACTGATTCCTGCATGAATAAACTATCAGTGTTTGTTTTCTTTAATAAATTTATAAACTTCCATGGAGCAGGGACTCAGACTCTACTTCCCACAAACTTACCCCCTGCTCTAGGGCTCTGGTAGAGATTCAATAGCATTTTTGACAAAGAATGTCTCTCAATTTAAAATGTGGGTGCCCAATTGGAGAATTTTTAATCAACATTCAGGGTGTCCCCTAATGGCTCTATAGCATGGTGCTTGCAAGTTCCAGAAAGCACCAAATTATAGTTGAGGACAAACCTGTGAACACATTTCTGTGTATCTCACAGCGTTGTAGTCTTTTAACACTTTACAAACATAAGAAATCATTACTAAATGCACCATCAAAGGGACATTACTTGCTTTTCCTTGTAAATTACTTTTTCCTAAATGTGTCACCTTAGTTCCCAAATAAGGGTAGGAAAGGGAATAAGAAGGGAGAAATTTTGAGGAACCCATATTATTGTGAACACAGTTGTATATTGTGCAGTCTTTTCAAAGCATATATTTTACTTAAAATTTAGAAAACATTAATTCCTTAAAAACAAAAAAAGCCCCAAAGAAATTGCCAGGAGATGTATGGGCTCATGTTGCTACAGTAAATGATTCTGGCCTCAGAGCTGCTAAACTCGCCACCTCACATGACATCAACAAAAAGGACTTTTTTTCTGCAAAACATTTGCACAATTGCACTTAAATAATTTAGAGATTTCTGTATGTGTCACCCATTGGAATGGGAATCCCATCAGTGAAAGCAGGGCATTGTCTGGCAGGGCTCCCAGTGTCCCCATCCCTGGCCCATGGGTCACCCAGTGCTGCTTGAGGATGACTGCATGAAGGGAGAGATGGAGGCATGAAGAACATGCTCTGGATGTGTGCTTTTGTGGTCCCACAAGAAATGCATGTTGGGGAAATGGGGAAAATACAAAGCACAGCCTCTACAAGTCCCCTTAACTTATCACCAAAATATGAAACTCTTGGACACTCGCTCTTTCTGTCCTTCTTAGGAGGCTATTACTTGACAAGCGCCTATGGGGCACTTTCTCTGATAAAGAATTTCCAAGAAGAACAAGCTGCAAGACTGCTCAGCTCAGAGACGAGAGACACCCTGAGGCAATGGCACAAACGGAGAACCACCAACCGGACCATCCCTTCAGTGGATGACTTTCAGGTATGTGGCCGGTGATGAAGATAAGGGGTAGAGGGAGGCACACTGCTTTCCTTGTCCTCCATGAAGGAAGAGCTGGCTCTCAGGGAGCCTGAGGTTCCCCCGTTGGCAAGTCATCCAGCGGAAGAGATATTTTTAAACTACCCTCTGACCTTGTTGTTTCACTTCTCTGTTTTGCTTATATTTAAAAAAAAAAAAAAAAAGGATGTGTTTGTCCCAAGTTTTGCTGCCCTTAAGGAAACAAAGTCAAATTAAGGCAGGATTTCTCCCAGAATGTACAGCATGGATGCTGAGCACCTAAACAGATAGGAAGTCAAGGAAGAAGCTCTTGGCACAGGTGGTGGGTACTTTATTTCATCAGAAGAACGAGTGTAAATAGCAGTGTTAGGCACTGCAGTCAACCTGGTCTCTCTAAGAAGAGGGAGAGGTGCAGTAATGCCTTCCCTCCTCCCCTTCCTTTTCCTCTACCAATTCCCCCAAAACAGAAGACCCCAGAATCTCACTGGCAGCATCAGCTCTGGCAGCCGTCAGGTCCTGCCTGGGTCCCCATCTGGAATTTTCTGTGACTGTGAGCTGGTACCCAGGAATATGAGATTCCCAAAGAGCTTGTTTCTTAAAGAGAAGAGGTAGATTAGGTCTATAGAAATCTTTACCCAGCACAACAACCCTCGATTTGCTTATAGTCTATGAAATTATGAGTAAACCTGCAAATGTCTTTGAATCATAATTTGAAAGTTTTAAATCAAATGATAAAACCTGACTGCATTGTTCCTATGTGCCATGTAGTGAATTTTTAAGCAGGACAAATTTGTCAATGTCCATACTCAGATTCACCTTCTTTGCCTTTTTTGCTCCTCAGTGCTCTGAAAATACTCAAAGGTACATTTGGTTCATAGTCAGCCCTTCTGCAAAGGCAAGATTATCAAGTTCTTCTCTAAGATAGCAGTAGTCTCAGCAATTCCTTCCCAGGTACATAAATCTAGAAGGCAAGACCTCATACTATGTGCATCCCTGCCCCCTTGAACTGTGGAAGAGTTGTCCATGTGTTAGGGATTTTGCATTTGCCTTTGGGATACTGTGATTGCCTTTCCCAGGAGGAGACTCCTAGGCTATATACCCTCTGAGGAGAGGAACAGAAGAAATGAGAAAAGCTCATTCTTCGTTTCCCCACCTGCCACCAGCCCCTTCCTCCTGTCCCTTCTCTCCAGTTGGAGCTTCTAACTTAGAGACCCCCAGAGGCCACACCTCCCCCTTCCCTCTTTACATCCGTTCTTACTGGCCCCACTCACTCAGGAGATCCATACCTTAGAATATAACCTAAGAGGGGAATTGTCAGCAGTCCATCTGGGTGTAAAAACAAAAACTCAGACACAAAATTCCACTTGAAACTCCTAAATCAGGGGTCACAGACACACACACACTCTCCTCACGTTGAAGAGGCAGCATACCACAGTGGTGAAGACACTGGAACTCTGGGTCTGCCACTCCCTAGCTGTGGGACCTTGGGCTAGTTGCTTAGCCTCTCTATGCCTCAGTTTCTTCACTAGTAAAATGTAAAAAATGTTGGCTTCTCTCACAAAGCTCTCCTCAGAAGTCAATGAGTAACTGGATAACATGTGCATGAGCCAAGTATTGGATTGGGGAGTTGAGATGGGAAAGGACAGGGTTGGCTAAAATGGAGAATGTGTGTTCTCTAAGGAGTTCTAATTCAAGCATCCAGAGTTTCTTACCAGTGCAGAGCTCCCTGTCCTTCCCTTTGAAGGAGGTTTCCCTTCTAACATCCCAGTGAATCCTCATGTGGGACCCTGGAAAGAGCACCACTTCCCTTCACTCCTAAGTAGGGAATTTAGATGTAGAAGAGGAGCATGTTTTATGTCTGAAAAATCAAATTCAACTGGGTGTTCTCTATCTTATCTGGTAACCCCACTCCTGAATAAGAGGAAACTGAAGAAGTTATGCAGTGTCACAAAATCTCCAAGAGCCCTCGTATGAGTGTAAGATTCTTTATACCCCATTTGGACTTTGCACTGTGAGATCAAAAGTTTATTGTATTTCATGATGGCACACACCTGGCGCTATTCACAGTGCCAAGCCTGCCAACATATTTTACGTTCCCGCAACACCACTTTGCACTTAATCACCTCCATCTCCAAAGCCTTTTGGAAGAATCAACATTTTTTTTCCTGCTGATGTTTTCCATATTGTACTCAGAGCCGCTTGTATTAGATTAAACCACATGAAATTGCCATTTGGAGAGGTGAAAAATGGTCAAATATTGTCAGTATGGGGTCTAGCCTAACATTATTGCCCTTGCTTAAGCCTCATGAAAAGTCATGCAAAGTGAGTATAATATGTACTCTTGTGTGTACATATTTTACATGTCTCTTCCTGCTTACTCCTGGTTCAGGCTTTCTGTTTAGTTTGTTTTTGAAGCTGGGAGTAAACCCGGTATTGGATCTAGTTCAGTCTTCACCAGGATTTCTTAACCAGGGTTTATGAACGGCACTCAAAGATGAGAATAGCTGAATGAACTTCCTGTTCCTTATATTTGTAATGAATTAAAATACAGCCACTCAGTCCATATAGGTGCTCTCCCCATTGTCCAAATATAGCGCAGCTTCTCTCCTTGCACTTGAAGGCCTTGTGTCATGGCATTATATATCCTGGGAAGCCAGAGCCTGCAGTGGCTTGCAAGATAGATTTCTCATTTGCATCTCATCATGTTCACTTATTGCTATTCTGTCTCGTTTCCCTCTTCTTACTCGCTCCAACATCTCTCCTTCCACCTGCAGAATTACCTCCGAGTTGCGTTCCAGGAGGTCAACAGTGGCTGCACAGGCAAGACCCTCCTTGTGAGACCGTACGTCACCACTGAGGATGTGTGTCAGCTCTGTGCTGAGAAGTTTAAGGTGGAGGACCCTGAGGAGTATAGCCTCTTCCTCTTTGTTGATGAAACATGGCAGCAGCTGGCAGAGGACACTTATCCTCAAAAAATCAAGGCTGAGTTACACAGCCGGCCACAACCCCACATCTTCCACTTTGTCTACAAGCGCATTAAGAATGATCCTTATGGAGTCATTGTCCAGAATGGAGAAGAAGACCCCACCACCTCATAGAAAGCACCTGGGACTTTCCAGTGGTCCATTCAAAGGGGGATTAGGAACCCAGCATTCTGGCTTCCACGTGCTTGTGTCTGAAAAGCAGTCACCTCCTTGCAGACCCCTCAATTCAATGACTAAGCCATCCATGAGCCAACTTGGCCAAGGGCATCTTTAGCAACATTGCCCATGCAAGGTAGCTGAGGTTCATGAAACAGTAGCATTCCCCTTCAGAAGTGGAGAATTGCATTGGATGGTCCAAAGGTCCTACAATTGTTTGCTACCTACCTGCAGCCAGGTTCTAGGTGGATGCACAAGTACGTATATGTGCTGAGTAACATTTAAGGTACAAGCTCTTCTCTTGAATTCAACAGCAGGTGTTTGACAAGGTTGGCCGATGCAGTGCGTCAGGTACTTCTCAGTTCTTTGGATGGCTTCTTTCTCCTATTCCTTTTTCCTTTTTTTCTAAAAATTTTGCAAAGAGCCTTTGTGTTTTTATATATTTCATAGAAATTTTTATAGCAGTTGCAGGTAAACTGTCAGGATTGGTTTTTAAAGTATTTTTGTAACTTTAAAATATTCTATAATTATGCATGTGATTTTAACATTTAATATTCAAAAAGAAATCTCTTGCTGGATTTGAGAGTATTGCATTTTACAAGTCTCTCTTCTATAACTGGATGTTTCGGCAACTTTGTGGGGAGAGACTGCTGGATTTCTTAAAGTGATGTATTACTGACACTGGCCTTTGGAAATCTGATGTACTGTTATCTTGTTCATGCTCAGTGATATTTGCTGTCTTGTGTTTAACCAAGTGATGTTAAGGATCAGGAGAGAAATGAATGTAGAGAGAGACTGAGAGAGAAATACAGACTCTAACAAAGGACTAAGGAGTTAGTCTGCTGGTTCAGGCTCCTTAAAGAAAGTGGGAAAAGGAGATGGAAGGAACTGTTTATGCTGAGAATATTGTAAATATGCAGTGAGACTTAGCTAAATTTTACCATGTTATTTGTTTTTGGAAACAATTTTGAAAACCCCATGAGGAAAAAGACAATAAGGATAACACTTATTTGTATTTTCCACATAAGTCAAAACTAATAGCATCAAATTATGTGGAGCAGAAACCAAGTAATGTCTACTGTGGCTTTCATTGAGTTAAATAAGATGCTGTTTGGAAAAGAGTTTGCAAATGCACCAAAAAGGCCATCTGAATTTTAAGAATGTATGGTGAAGTAAATTTATGTTTTCTGAAACCTGGTTAGGGGTACACAAAGTATGAGGGTCTTGTATCAATGTAACAGGTAGTTGCTAAAACATGTTATTGTACTGTGTAAAGATGCGTAGTCATCTAATTTGATTGGCTTTGCACCTTGTTCCTTTGTTAGCCTTTGTGATACATCCAGAACCCTCAGCACATACTGTGTTGTACTTCCTTTTGTAAATGATTTTTAAATGGAATTTTGCACATAATACATTGTAATACTGTACAATAATCATGTGTGAAAATAATTTTTGAAATATTCTTTAGTTGTCTTTCTTCTTTGGAAAGCAGAATATAATGTACACTCCATAATGAGATGTTAATCTGAAACCCGAGCCAGTGTTTGTGGTTAGATTGTCCATAGAGAGGGAACAGAAAAGTTTACCTTTTTTTTAGCAGCTTATATAGTGATATGAGGCAAAAATCAAGGAGCAGAAGGAAAAGTTTGTTCTAACCTGAAAGGATTTCCAGTGTTACCTAAGACAGTAATTGGCTTAGTTGGACCTAGAAACAGTCACAGTTAAGCAAAAGGGCCCTGCAGACAGGCCGCCCATTCTTTTGCAACCTCTGAAGTGCCTTGGCTGAGAGTTCAGCACTCTTTCAAAATCAGCAGGGCAGAGGCTTGGTCTTCTTTGCTGGTATATTCCTAGTGCTTGGAGCTGTGTCTGGCAGTTAGCACGTGCTTTGTAAGTCCTTGTGTCTGAACAAACTTTCAAACCCAGTAGAATGGATACTTCAAGATCAGAAAGATGGCTGAACAGATTCCCTACTTTTTGTATTTGCAATGATTCAAAAATGACAGTCGACCCATATAGTGGTCCTCCCCACTCTCCAAATTAAGGTCATTAATGCTGTTCTTATCTTTAAAAACCAATACTCTGCTGATTTAAAGCAAGGCACAACATCTGAATGGGAAGCAGTCTCAGCAACCTTTAGCGAGATGACAGTGAGAACAAAATAGGAAAAGTTAGTGTGAGCAAAAGAAAACATCACAAGACAACCCCTGGTTTTGTCATTGGGCAATATTTCCCTGCTAAAATTACAACATAACATGTGTCTTCATTTTTTCCCCCCACGCAGACATTTCTCAGTTCTCAAATTGTCAGGAAACAGATTTCAGTACAGTTTGGAAGGAATAAGAGGGAGAGTAAAAATATACATGGTGGTGGAGGGAGAGGAGAATGTATTTCCAGATCTAAAAATATGTTATAAAAGTTGAATGCCAGCCAGAGGAAAGGATTTTTTTAAAAATATTGCATGCACTGCCAAATATTCCCTGCAGGGACACAGAATAGAAATAGAAGCTGTTAAGTAGTTTATGTCATGCGGAAGTTACAATTTGAAATCTATAAGAAAACACAAAATGCAGGAAGCCCAATCTTGAATGCTTTCATTCATAAATGTGACTTCAATGGGCAGCTCTTACCTTCAGTTACTTTAAGAGACTTGAAATGAGAGAGAACTCTGATTATTAACAGCACTGCCTGGGTACTCCCCCAATGCCTAAGAGAAATGTTATAGTACCCGAGACACAGGTATTTTAATCACCTGGTAGTATCTGACAGACCATATTCACAATGGTGAACTCAAGACCAAAACTGTTAGTCTTTTAATTAACCCTGATCAAGTTGGGAATATGAAAAAATTCATATAACATTTCAAAATTATAAAAAAAGAGATGGAAGGAAGGAGAAGGAAAATATCTAGTGTTTTGTCTCAGAGAAGAGGTTCTTATCTGAGAAAGATCTATTTTTCTCCAACATCAAAGGATGGATGGCAGTTGATACAAACATTTGCCACATTAACACTGACTTTGCCAGGAAAGATCTTGAAAGTTAAAATTATTCAGAAAAGCCTGGGCCAATAGTTTTAAATTTTTTCTTTTAATCCTCACAGGAGGATATTTCTTTTTCCCACAGCACTTTAGAGAGAGAGAGAAAAACATCAATCAGTTACCTTCTTGCACGTGCCCTAACCCGGGATTGAACTCATAACCTGGGTATGTGTCCTGACCGAAATCAAACCAGCAACCCCTCAGTTATGGGATGATGCTCTAACCAACCAAGCCACACCAGCCAGGGCTAAGCCAATAGTTTTAATAAAATGGTGACCAAGTTCTGCCCTGAGGCCTCAGCACTGTGGGAAATCTCTGTGAGGAAGCTGTGATTGACATGAAGCAGTTGGAGGGATGGGAGCAGCTTATTATCTTGATTCTAATAAACTCTAATATTCCTAAGTGAAATTTGCCTGAATTCTGAGACTCTCTACATAATAGACATTTAGAATGTTATTATATAAATGAATCTGAGCTCTGGCCAGTTAGCTCAGTTGGTTAGAGCGTCTTCTCAATATGCCAAGGTTGTCAGTTTGATTGCCAGTAGGGGCACATACAAGAATCAACCAATGAATGCATAAATAAGTGGAACAACAAATTGATGTTTCTCTCTCTCCTTTCCTTTCTCTCTAAAATCAATAAATAAAATATTAGAAAATGAACTTGAGTATTTCCTTTGACTAAACAATCTAGAACTACTGCAGTCAGCCCTCTGCTCAATCTGGAGGGCAAAGGGGACCATGGACTGGGCACTCAGCTCAAGGCTGCGGATTTTTCCTCTGGGTCTGCCTCTCTCAGCCCCAGGTGGAGTGGAGGATGGGGCAGGAGGGTTGGCACCTCTGTAACCTGCCCTCAGTTTCCAGGAAGAAATAGCACCTCACATAACAGAGGCATTTTTTGGCTGTGGCTTCCCACTCTCCCTCTTTTAGCTCCATTTCTTCCTTTTCTGTCATTTCTCCCCACTTACTCTGAATTGCAGGTTTTCCCTCACTCAGTTTTCCATGAGAGCTATTCAAAACTCTTGGGCAAAATGTGAGGCTCTGTTTTGCCACATCATTTTCACAACTCGTTTGTTCCTATTTAGATCTGGCTCTCAGCTTTGGACAATTCTTCAAATCACCTACAGGCTTCTGATGCCCAGGCTGGCCAGACTTTCAAACTCCAGGCAGATGGGCACCAAGCTTCCATATTTACTAAAACTTCCAAGGTGATTCCACTGCAAAATCAAGGCTGAGAACCACCAGTTTAGAACAACACACAGGTCTTAAGATAGAAACACACCTAGGAGAAGTAAGACCTGTCTAGGCCCACTAACACCTAACAAAGCGTAGGTTCTCAATCTTATTTCTTATTCAGCTGATAGAAAGCCATGAGATATGTACTTCTAGCATGGTGCTGTTTTATAGAAATATGAAGCTAGCTACATGTGTCATTTTTAAATTTTCTAGTAGCCACATTTTATAAAAAAAAGAAAAAATGGGTAAAATCAACAGTAATACATTATATATTACTAATAATTTATTTTATTGTAGTAATATGTTAGTAATCTATTTTATTTAACTCATGATATCCCAAATACAATATTTCGATAATCAATACAAAATAATAAAGAGGTATTTTACATTATTTTATTTTATTTTAATCTTCACCTGAGGATATGTTTTCTTGATTTGAGAGAGAGAGAGAAAGAAACATAGATATAAGAGAAAGACATCTATCTGTTACCTCCCAGATGCGCCCTCACTGGGTATCAAACCTTCAACTTAGGTATGTGCCCTGACCGGGAATCAAACCTGCAACCTTTTAGCATACAGGACAATGCTCCAACCTGCTGAGCTATCTGGCTAGGGCTACATTGCATGCTTTAACATTGTCTTCAAAATCTTGTGTATGTTTTGTACTTAAAGCACATCTCATTTCACACTCGCTGTATCTCCAATGCTCATTAGCCACACGCAGTTCTAGCATAGCAACTAGAAATGATTTAGAAAGTTAAAACATGTAACTATATGTGTAAATAAAATGACACCCACAGCTTACATCCTCAAAAAATACACATGTATACACTATCAAACATGTGTTTCTTCATCTTGGCTCATCAGAGTGCCACAAGGCCAGCATGACTTAATCCGTGTCAAGTCTTAGAACACTACCTAGCACACCATACACGCTTTAAATATTAGTTAATTCCAAAAAATCCAAGAGGAGGGAAGACTCCCAGACTCCTTCTATGAGGCCAGCATCACCCTGATCCCAAAACCAGATAAAGACCCTACAAAGAAAGAAAACTACAGGCCAATTTCACTGATGAACATA